CTTCTTCCTGATTGTGCCTTTGAAATACGCACTTGACACCGTATGTTTAATTTCTCCCAACAACATCAGAACACAACATTTAATAATAGCATTTTTAATTCTGGAGAGCTCAAGGTTCTCCACAGAAGAAAGATGTGCTGTGCTTCTCCTTTTTCAAATGTGGTAGTGGAAGTCCAAATAAGTAAAGTAAATTACCAAGATCCAGATTAATGATAAAACTGGAAAGAGAACAGGGCCAAACCTCAAGCCAGCCTCCTAATGATAGGATTTCCATGCCTTCCATCTCCATAAAGCTTTCCTTTCTTGTGATACTTCCCAGTGAGTGTGCACGACCCCATCTATGGGATTACATTGTGTGGGAGTTGGGTTTTTCTAAGTAATCCCACTGTCACCACTGCCGCTTCTTCTCCCTCCATGGCCTATACATAAGTCAGTATAGATAATTCATGGCTCACAGGTGGGACTGCGGTGTCTGCTATGCGGGGTCATGCAGCAGGAAATGGATGGCAAAGATGCAGCTTTTGCAGGGAAGAGTGAGACAGGAATCATCTGTAGAAAGCTCAGGCTCCACCTGACAGTGTGCCCCTGCTGTCCCTCCAGAGATTTGATTTTCCTAAAACAGGGCAATGCAGGCAAACCCGATATTGATGTCTGTCCCTCTGAAAGCCGAATACAGTGGTGTACGCCATTGTACAGTGATCTTAAGTCTAACCAGACCTTCCATTCCTAATTGGCATTATTTTTTTAAAGGTCACTTTAAAAAGGTAGGCAAAATAATGTAAATATCAAGAGTTAAGCATTGTGGGTCGTGCCAGCATGCTGAAGTGAGGGAAAGCACTGGAAAAGGATGAAATTACTCTGTGCCTCTAAGGACAGCTGGGCAGTCAGTGAGGGATTTTGAGGTATTTGAACTTTAAAATTGACACAATGGATGGCTGGGATGGTTTAACGCTTTTATCGTTAATTTAAACCATAGAAATGAATTTTAAAAAATACTTTGTGAGAAGAACAAAGGATGAGAGAATTCATCTATGGGCTACCACTTCTGCCTGTGTCACTGTGAGTCCAGCCCCATGCTCCTGCCAATATCTGGAAGGATTTGCTTTAGTGGGTTGAAGGTTCAGTTGAGAGTAGGTGCAGTGTGTGGGAAGAGCATTTATTTAAACTCTGTGGGCTTTTGAAAATAACAGTGAGACAATACCTGGTGAGGCTGTCAGAAATACTGTGCTGTGCAGTATTCTGCCACGTTCAGGGAGTCATGTCTCTATTTTGGAGTGGGGAAGGAGAGCTGTACAAACCAGCTGTCTGTGTGAGAGGAGAGGGAGTTGTCTTTGCTCAGCCAAGCTGTCGTGGTTTAACCCCAGCTGGCAACTAAGCACCACACAGCCGCTCGCTCACTCCCCCCCCGGTGGGATGGGGGAGAGAATTGGAAGGGTAAAAGTGAGAAAACTCATGGGTTGAGATAAAAACAGTTTAATAGGTAAGGCAAAAGCTGTGTGCGCAAGCAAAGCAAAACAAGAAATTCATTCTCTGCTTCCCATCGGCAGGCAGGTGCTCAGCCATCTCCAGGAAAGCAGGGCTCCATCACCTGTAACGGTTACTTGGGAAGACAGATGCCATCACTCCGAACGTCCCCCCCTTCCTTCTTCTTCCCCCAGCTTTACATGCTGAGCATGACGTCATATGGTATGGAATATCCCTCTGGTCAGCTGGGGCCAGCTGTCCCAGCTGTGTCCCCTCCCAACTTCTTGTGCACCCCCAGCCTACTCGCTGGTGGGGTGGTGTGAGAAGCAGAAAAGGCCTTGACTCTGTGTGAGCGCTGCTCAGCAGTGACCAAAACATCCCTGTGTTATCAACACTGTTTTCAGCACAAATCCAAAACATAGCCTCATACGAGCTACTGTGAAAAAAATTAACTCTATGCCAGCCAAAACCAGCACACAAACAAAATGAGATGTATTCTGCAAACATGCCATAGGATAAGTCTTTCTGTTCCTGCTCGGAAGGACCTAGCGGCACATGTGTGAGGGGAACAGACAAAGGGGGAAAAGAGCAGCCTTTGGCCAGAGAATTGCATGGCACCATAGTTTGATATACACTAAACTTACATTCTGAAGATGCAGATGATTTAACTCCAACATAAGAAAAGAACCATTTATTGAGATGTTTGCAAAGTGCGGCACCTGCAGAGACTGCTGAGATGGCAACAGCTCCTAATTCAGCTTATGTGGAAGGGCTCTCCTGACCTGTGGGATAGGTGCCTCTACCCAAGCAGCCATTTCTGCTCCACCATAACTTGCTGCTGTGTGCAGCAGTTGTTCCTAGTTGCCCAGCCTGCTGCCCTGTGGTCACAGCTCCTCCGGGAGCTGCCCAGTGCCAGGGCTTTCGCTGCTGGTGCAGGACACGGGAGCTGTTGTTGCTGGTATGCGTGGCAGTAACTGCCACCGTCGAGAGCAGCGCCCAAGCAAACGGATCCACAGGCTTCATTGGAAGGTGTGACTAATGCAACACCAAGGTCTTATGAGACTAGCCATATTATCCTCTCTTCTTAGAAGCTACATTAGGAGACAGTGCTTTCTTCGTAAATATATTAGTATGTATGTTAATATTACTGAGCCCAACCACGCATGATATACTTCTGAATACATATTGCGCATCCCTGCCTCTTTTCATCTTGAAGAGAAGTTTCATCATTTCGTGGCTAGTCTGCTGGTATTATTTAAATAAAGCTGATATTATTTAAATAAAGCTTTTAAACTTTTGAATAAACTATGATTTATAATAAGCCTTGTATTTCTAAAGAGCCAAGCAGTTGAAGCCTTTTATGTGTCCATTTTCCAACTACTTACCCTCTCTATGCTTTGATCAACTACATCTGGCAAGGCTTAAAAAAACTCCCAAAAGTTTCTGAGGAAATATGGATGTTTCATCCTAGGTGCTGGAAGCCGCACCGTCCCCTTTGGAAATGTGCAATTATCACTTCAGTGAAAACCCCAAACCCACAACATTTGCCTATATGATTTCTTACTGGCCTTTACCTCTAGAGTTCCCCACCCTCTGGCACATTTTGAGTCATGAATTAACTTTCATGTCTGAGCTGAAGGACTGAAGAAATCTAATTACCATTTTAAAGCTTTTTCCCAGCAGCCTTCCAACTTCAGCTCTCTTGTTCGGCTGCATAAGAAGTATAGGAAGGGTGGCAAGTCATCACCTGTGTGCAGGTATCCTGTGTTAGTTTGGTTACTTTGAATACTGCATTGGGCAAATAACGCTTCCCTTAGTATACCCACTCACTACTTAATTCGGGATAACTTTGTAAAAACTGGTGTTAGAGTTGAAGAAGAAACACCTGCCAAGAAGGTGAGGTCTAGGGTTTATTTTTACTTTGGAATTTCAGGTCTTTCATTTTCGAAGACCTCATTACATGAAAACACCAAGGAGGCCCTTGTGTCAGATAATTAACCTCTGATAGTAGTGATGTCTCGGAACATAAGATTCCAATAAGAAATGTACATGGTGTCAGGGAAATATTTTTTAAAAGCTGCAAGCCCCCCCTAGGATAGTTAGCTGTGTTGATTTATGTATGTTTATATGTGCACGTGCCTTGGGACTGTTGCTGTCTCCAACTAGAAAAGAAAAGCAGTATGACTCATGCACGAGCATCGTAACAACTGTACCTAAAAGGGGAAGTCCTGCTGCTGTGGCAAGGGACAATCTGAAGGAACTCCAGATTTACTTTGTATAACAGGGTAGAAGTGGTATCCCAACTATTCTACTTATTCCAGAAAAGAAAAAAGTACATCTCCTGTACAACTTAATGAGTTATTATAAAAACAGAATTCTATTTACACTTTTCAGTAGTTTAAAATGTGTTGTTACTGATTTTAAATGCGTTCCTCAGCATAGGTGTTCTGAAGATAAACGCACAAATCAGTCCGGAACTCCACTCAACTCTTAGGAATTTAAGTACATTGGCATACGCATGCCCTGGAAAACAAGTTTTCCTTGGGTGTTCACAAGCATGGTTTGAAGCTCCCCTGTGCTAGGACACTGAAGAATTTATCTCGTATGTGTAATGTGCAGAGATAGGGACTGAATTGTTTGCTGTGCCTCACTGACCACTTTGGAAAATGCAGACCCTGATTATTTAGTTGGTTTGACAGAATTTTTATAACATGTTTATTGTGGAAACCTCTGGGTATCAAGGGCTTTCCAGCAGCAGCACTCAGCTGTGTCCAGGATGCCTTATGCTACCGCAAAACAGTCCAAACCTTACAAGTGAGTCTGCCCCAAAACGACGACATACTTAATACTTCTGGTTTCTTCCTTTCTTTTCCCTTTGGACTTCTGAACTTTTAGGATTTGCTAAGTTTTGTGAGGTTTCGCTGTAGCCCACAGGGTCTAGATTTATTTCAACGGGAGTCGAGATGGCTCCAAGAGCTGGAGCTTTAGCGAAAAGCCTGAATCAAACCAGCGGTTGTCAGCAGGAGGCATGGGACTGTCACCTCTCCGTCCAGCCAGGGGGATCATCCTTGCCCCAGTTCCTGCTGCCCCCTCAGAAGCGCCGGCCTTCAAAATTAAAAAGAAAAAGCCATTTATGGCCCGCTCCCTCTGGCTAAAGCTCGCTCCCACCCTCTTCTCCCCTCAGGCGCCCTCCCTTTTTCGAAGGGGGGGTGGGAAACACCACAGCCCCGCCCCCCTCACGACCCGACCGTCAGGCGCCACGACGCT